TCGTATGAGTATATGTTCACTGATATGTTATTCAATTTTTCGAACCTTTCGAGTACTCTGTCTTCATCTTTACTGGGTATTCAATGCCTTCGAACTTTCTCATTTTCATATGGCTTTATTTGGTGACTCTTTGGGCATCTTTTTCTGCTGATGTAGTGCAGACAGTATCGCCATTTAAAACACTCATTATCATTCTCATTTTTTACGTTTATGACTGCTTTTTTAGCTTAATACTTTTGACAATCAATGTAGGATGACCTCTCGTGGGGTGTACTTATTGATCCTCACCTCAAGACTTTTGATTCTAGCAAGCGTCCAACCTGAACCCCTGCCAACAACTCCTCCATCTCCGTCAATAATTTTTGGATAACTGATCTGAATAAGCTACCAAATCAGTTGATTCTAAGATGACTTCATTTTGTTTTTGAAGTTTTTCTCCATTTCTTCATCGTTTCATCTTTCCCTTTTTCATAGTCCACAGAGAATTGGAAATTAACCTTCAAGCCATGCAGCCTCAGATGTTTTGTAATAAGAAGACCCGGACCATTGAGAAACATCGTTCAAAAGTCTTTGGGAAGCATCAGATTGTGCTCATTTTGGACATCATACGCACCAAACGGTTTTCAAAAGCCGTATCAATTTCATTGGGGTATATACCTTCTCTCTCGCGAATCTGAAAACAGGTCGGAATCAAATTCGAAGTGACGGTTGAACAAAACGCTTTCTATGTTGCTTTGTGTCTGCCTTCCTCCGTAGTTGGAATAGCCTGCGATGCCACGCGATCGACAAATTCACGTAGTTGGTTAATGGTCATATGATGCAGCCCCTGCATATTGTCAAAAATCATCTCTGTGAACCTCCTGGCTGGCTTCTAGGCTTATAGTTTTGATGAGCTTTAGTTTGTAAGGCTTATTTATGCTAGATTCCTTTATTAACTTTCCGCAACACCTGATTTTTAGCTCCCTCTTCTTCTTTTCGCTTGATAAACAAGTCTTGTGGAACCTGGAAAAGCCGTTGTGGTATTGAATGAGGGCGTCAGTTCCACCTTTTAAGTTTCGAGTATCCCGAATATCATTTTCTCGACAGTAATCTTGTAACTGTCGAATGTTTTTGAGTGAAAATCCATTTTGTCTTTCTATATACTACAAAACTTCTCTTTAATGCTTTTATATTCACTAGGTATTATTAATCAATTACCATTGTCTCTCCTTTGACGCTCTAGAAGCCATACATAATGGTGCACTGATGTATAAATTAATACCCTCACTAAATTACCATGCCAGTGGATTATGTGGGGGACGAATGTCCCTTGCAAAAGAAGCATGCGATGAAGAGGAAAGTGGCGTTTGAAAAGCGGCGTTTTGGAAAAGTAGCGTTTGTAAAAGTGGGTTCGATTTTAATGGAGGGTTGGAGAGCCATCACATTCTAAAAGTGGGTCGATTTAATGGAGGGTTGGAGAGCCTCACATTCTAAAAGTGGGGAATTTTTATGGGGGTTGGAGAGCATTGTTTCTAAAAGTGGATGGAATTTTAATGGAGGGTTGGAGAGCCATCACATTCTAAAGTGGGTTTGATTTTAATGGAGGGTTGGAGAGCCATCACATTCTAAAAGTGGGTTCGATTTTAATGGAGGGTTGGAGAGCCATCACATTCTAAAAGTGGGTGGAATTTTTATGGAGGGTTGGAGAGCCATTGTTTTCTAAAAGTGGATGGAATTTTTATGGAGGGTTGGAGAGCCATCACATTCTAAAAGTGGGTTCGATTTTAATGGAGGGTTTCGCAGTCATTGTTTCGCCCCCAAAGGTCACTGCGCCAGCTCTCTCATTTGTACACTACTTATATTAGCAATTGAATAAATGGCAACCTTTTATGCTAACATTACGCTTGGCTATGATTATAGATTTTTAAATGCTCTAAGAAATGTTGACGAGAAAAAATTCAACAACAATTTCTTTTCATGTAATAAAAATAGATTTTGTTAATGAAATTCATAGGCCAAAAGATTACATTTAGTGCTATTTTAATTAAGAATAACTGATATGTCATTCACCATAAACCCAGAAGTGGCGGCAGAATATGTTGGCACCGTCCGGCAGAATTTGGGGACGTAACCGAGTGGCAAAATTAAGGGATGAGAAGTTTTTATGATTTAGGGAAAACACTAAGATCCAAAGTTTAGGCACAGTGAAAATTTAGAACTTAGGAAAGTGCTTTGTAGCAGAATTTAGGACTTGTAGAGACTGCACCAGGCAGTATCGAGTGTCGTCCCTAGATAAAGCTTTAAGTATATGTGGGAGTTTATTTATTCAGAACTCGGATTAGTTTTAAGCATGTGCAAGAAATAAACGTAGGTATAGTAAATAACTAAACTAATACAATTCAGGCTTTATTCAGTACGCAATAGGAGCAAGATAAAATTTAGCGAAACAATTTAGCTTTCATTGCCAATCTTGTGATACACAGCCAATAATGTATCACAAATGCTATTAAGCTAGGCTAAAATTAGTGGACTGTGCTGCTCCCTAATCTTTTAGTTTGATCCAGCTTATTATTTTTTGCAGATTTTTATTATTTCGGCAATTTTATAAAAACTAAGCTTGAACTTTTTTACTTAACATATTTTACTTAAAAACAAATTAAAATTATTATAATTATTACTGGCTACTGCTATGCATCATGTAAATTATACCAATATTTGAAATCAAAATTTGAAATTTTTTCTAATTTTTGGTAGCTTCAACTTTAATCTGGGTAACTAATGGTGCAATTATTAGTGCAAGATGTTTACAATTTCTAGTCTTTCTCTATGTATGCATTAATTTATAATTTAAAAAATTTGATCTTAAGTGAAATATGGTCAATTTTTCATGGCAGTAAAATAAAGTATTTATTAGCCCAAAGGGGCAAGTAGCCAGGAAGATCTATTAGTCTCAAAATGACATTGTAATGTTTCATTATAAATGTTGAATAACTTTTTAGATTGTTGCCACCAAATATTATCACCCTGTATTATATTTAAAGAAACTTAAAATGAGGAATCTGAATGAATGTATGTATGTTTCCTTGCATTGTGAAATATATATATACAGTACAAAGTCCGAAATCCGGACTGGTCGGGACTTCGACGATTCCTGATTTGGGATTTTTCCGAATAATAGATCATCAATTTAAATCTGGTAAGATGGCATGCAGAAATTATACAATTAAAAATATGAAATCATAATTTATGAAATAAAGAACAATTATTATCTAAAAGGTATCAAATTTTCAAAAAAAAAAAAAAAAATTAATATTTATTTGTTTACTTTATCAAACATTTCTTTCAATGCAGGTTGTTTAAGAAGCTTCCACAAAAAATTCAAAAAGTTCCTTTTTCTTTTTCCTTTTGTTGTATACAGTGGACTTTCCAATGCCATACTCCTCGCATAATTTTGAGATGGATATGCCTTTATCCATTTTTTGCAGCAATTTCACTTTTTGTTTAATGGACATCAAAACATGGTTTCACTTTGTAGATCATTTGGCAACTCCAGAATTGCAAACTCTTTTCGACATAATCGAAAGTTCAAGCTTAGTTTTTATAAAACTGCCATAATAATAATACTCGGCAAAAAATAATAAGCTGAATCAAATTAGAAGATCAGGGAGCAGCGCAGTCTGCTATATTAATTGAAATGCATTAGAATCAGTAAAGATAATTTTAGCCTAGCTTAATAGTGTCTGTTATACATTATTTGCCATGTATCACAAGATTGGTGACGAAAGCCAAGTTGTTTCGCTAAATTTTGTCTTGCTCCTATTGCGTACTGAATTAAACCTGAATTTTATTAGTTTAGTTATTTACCATACCTACATTTATTTCCTGCACATGCTTCAAACTAATCCGAGTCCTGAATAAATAAACTCCTACATATACTTAAGGCTTTATCTAGGGCCGGCGCTCGATACCGCATGGTGCAGTCTCTACAGATTATAAATTCTGCTACAAAGTGTTTTCCTAAGTTCTAAATTTTCACTGTGCCTAAACTTTGGATCTCAGTGCTTTTCCTAAATCTTAAAAACTTCTCATTCCTTAATTTGGCTGCTCGGTGCTTCCGCAAATTCCAAAAATTTCGTCTTCCCTAAATTCTGCCATCCGGTGCCAACATATTCTGCCGCCGCATCTGGGTTTATGGTGAATAACATATCAGTTATTATTAATGAAAATAGCGCTAAATGTAATCTTTTGGCTTATGAGTTTCAGTACAAAATCTTTTTTTAACATATGAAAAGAAATTTTTGTTGAAATTTTCCTCGTCAACAATTCTTAGAGCATTTCAAAATCTATAATCATTGCCAAGTGTAATGTTAGCATAAAAGGTTGCTATACTCTTGTTATTATATTACTAATATAAAAAAAAGTTTAGGCATCACTGCGTGAGTTATTACTGAAGCTGTCATGTACTGGTAAACATGCAGTGATGAAAGCAAAATATAATAAATAATGACTCGCCGGGTCAGCGTCAGTGATATAAAAATAGGTGAATGTTTCGGTTTGAGATGTATGCCAAGTAGATACTTGGCTATGGAGCCAAATAACTAATCTCACAAATTTATGCTTACATAATTGTTTTTCTATAATGAGGTATTTTATTTAGCGCCCAAGTGAAATTAAGAATCAGACTTTAAAGTGAAAATTTCTACATGTTTTATTATGGAAGGAAAATCAAATGTGCATGTGTAAAGCATTAATTAAGAAAAAAAAAATTTTGTGGCTTTGAGGTCCAGATTTTAGATCATTCTAGATAATGGATGTCCGGATTTCGGACTTTGTACTGTATATATATATATATATATATATTGCTAAAAATAACATTATTGCTAATTAATTTATGAAAGAAAAATTTTTTTATCATATTTCAGTTCTATTTTAAAAATGCAGAATTCTTGAAATTGTAGAACATTTTCTAATTTCTGAAAAAAAATGTACTGAGTTTAGAATTAGTATTTTGAAATTTTTAATTGATATTTTAGTCTTTGCTGGATACTGCTGGACTTAATGACGTTCAAGCGAAAGCTTACCAGATTAAGCAATCTGTGGACTCAAGGAAGTTTAAGCTAGCTACTGATCAATTCTCCGAGTTACAAGAGCTTATTGGAAATGTAAGTTCATTAGTAGTTAAGTTATAAATTTCTGAGAATTTGTGATAGTACTTTTTATTAATTTTCTAACTATAAAAAATGTGTGGAGAGAAGTCTCTCCCTGTCTCACATATATACCTTTTTTAAAGTTGAAAAGAATGAAATGGGAATGAAATAGCATTTTTGGTTTTCCTAAAATAGCATTTATTCCTAGTTGTTGCATTCAAATAACTTTTCAAGCAATTTAGACAGTGATATCTATCTGTTTGTATGGAGGAACCTCATTTCATTTGGTTGGCTTTTTGATTGTGATTCGAGCAGATGTTAAATCAATTTTTCCCTAAAAAGATAAATAAAATAAATTTGTTCTAGACTCAAAATAAATGTGTATGGAGTGCTATAAAGGAAAATTTAACTGCATATTTCATGTATTATGGGGAGCTGGTAAAAAAGACAAGGTTTCTAATTGTTTGCACTGGGAATTACGCCTGCATGAAAACATTTGGTAACTCTTCTAATATTCTTTCTTTTCTCTTCTCTTTTTTAACACTGGATAATATTTGGTATTGAAAAGCTGAGCAATTTTTATTTAAAAACCTGCCCAATATTTATTGTTTTTCAGGAATTTTTAAAAAAATTCCTGAAATGGTCAGTTGCATCGTCATTGGGTAGGTTGATGTTTTTGCTGACCAGAGTTATATTAGAACAGTATAAAATTTTGAATTATCATCGTGTTAAATTGGGTAGATTACTATATGAGAATCCTGTAAAGGTTGTTCAGAAAGAGTTGTATGATTTTCTGAAATTTCTCCCTTGACCATATTGAATCATTTTGTTCATCTGTATTTATGGACTAAATTCAAAACCATTAAAACTGCCACATATTGTTATATACCAGTGTGCAAAACTTAAGCAACAAATTCATTTTTTAACATATAACTATGAATTGGTGAAAAGGGCTTTTTGCAATCAGTACAGTGGAAAGCTAATTGTAAAGGTGATGCATATGGGAATATCAGCACCATGACATCAGAAGGTATGTTTGCGCATGCAAAATGTGAGGAGTTGGAACCCGTAGTACAAGGCAACTTAAAGGAAAAGAAAACTTAAAGAGAAGAAAGGAAGGCACATTTCTAGTCATTATTCTGCAAGTGAAAATGAGATTGTATGGGCAGTATGGCTACAAGAAAACGTCAGGACACCTTTACATGTGGTAGACTGATTAGCAAGCTCGAGGAGAGGCATAGTTTGATGTCCATCACAAAAGAGTTTGGAATTGACAAATTGTTGTTTCACGAGCTTGAAAAGCCATCCAAACAACAGTTACAGCTATAAGAAGGGCTGGTAGTGGTTAGCCAAGGAAAACAAGAATGATTGATGACCAATATATTACCCTGCAGGTGAAAAGAAATCGAATCTAGACAACAAGCAGCATTTGCACATTGCAATCGGACAACACTTGTCTCGATTTACTGTGGCCAAACAACTATGGCCTACTCACCAGTCCTCGTGAATGCTGCATACCAATGACAGCAGCTTCTGAGACGTTTATGTTAACACATTGACTGGACAGACGATAACACATTGACTGGACACCTCATCAATTAAGTCAAATTCCCTTTATTGATGCGAGTCGTTTCAGCCTGACAGATGGCTCTTGGTGCCACTTGATATGGAGAGAGGTAGGGACATACTTTTATCCCACTAATACCAGGCAAAAAGACCATTGGGGTGGTCCTGGCATGCTTGTACGGGGACACATTATGATGAATGGATGAACAGAGCTCCATGTTTTTACCAAAGATCATAACTGTGATGAAGTTATCTCTTCCCATGTCCATCTTTTCTGGGGTACCATTGGTTCCAACTTTGTTTTTATGGATGACAATGCATAGACACACAGAATTCATGCTGCCAAGGAGCTCTTGGGAAGTAAAGATATCTGCAGAATGGATTGGCCAGCGTGATCCTATGATTTAAGTCCTGTTGAAAATGTGTTAGATACTTTAAACTAGGTTGACTAAACGAAATCTTACTAAGGTTGTTTTGTTTATTATTCTTCCTCTTGTCCAGACAGTTTCTTTCTCCCCCCTTTTTTTTGTACCAATGCCATTCTGTCAGCAAAGCCTTTTACTATTTTGTACTGTATGCGTCCTATTCATTTTTTTTTTTTTGTTGTTTTGGTAGTTTCCTTATAGTTTAAGTACTATATTTTACCTCTGTAGTGTGAATTTCATATCTCACAGTTGATTTTTTGCAGACTAACAGAATTAGAAAAGTTGCTTAAGTTTTGCGTGCTAGAGTAGATATGTCTCCCTTGTGCCTAAGAGTTTTTAGAAAATACTGTAATTTGAATGTTTTTTAGACTGTTTCCCTTGTTGCCTTGTGTCACTTGTGTGTATGCAAAATTTGGACCAGCAGATGTGCACTGATCAACAGTCCATATTAGTGATTTTTGACTCGTATAGTCCATGTGTAGTGAGTTTTGATCCAAGTCAAATGACTTGGTCTTTGCAAACTGAAGTTAATATTTCATTTGTTCAAGTTTACTTGCACAAATATTTATTGGGTTGTTCGGAAAGTAATTTCGTTTTTTCCCGTCAGAGGACTTAATTACATTTTTTCGAAACCAACTTCAACTAAGCCGCATACATTATATGTTTGAGAGCTGATATTACAAGCTTGTGTGTGAAAAAGTTCATTAATTCTACGCAGTAGTTTTTGGTTGGTGCCCCTTTAAATATGGAGAGCAATAAGCAGCATTTTCATCATATTTTACTTTTCACTTCAGAAAAGGTAAATCTGTCCAATGAGAAAAAAATTGACGGATGTGTATGGAGAAGGCGTTTAAAACAGTACGCCAGTGCCAGAACTGGTTTGCAAAGTTTCAATCTGGCAATTTTTATGTCAAAGATGCACCACGGTCTGGAAGGCCGGTCGAAGCTGACAAAGATGCGATAAAGGCATTAGTTGATGCAAATCGGCGAATAACCACACAACAGATTGGTGTGAGGTTAAATTTGTCGAATTCGACTGTTTATGGCCGCTTGAAAGACCTGGGCTTAACTTCGAAGCTCGATGTGTGAGTGCCCCATGTTCTTACGGAGCGAAATTTGTGTCGTCGCATTGACGTGTGTGATTCGCTCCTCAAACGTCAGGAAAATGATCCATTTTTGAAGCGGATTATTACTGGGGACGAAAACGGGTCGTATACAACAATGTGAAACGCAAGAGGTCATGGAGCAGAAAAGATGAACCGGCTCAAAGCGTTTCAAAAGCCAACATTCACCAAAAAAAGGTGATGCTGTCCGTTTGGTGGGATTTCAAAGGAATCATTTTTTTTTTTTAGCTTTTACCGGACAATACAACTATTAATTCGGAAGTCTATTGTCATCAGCTGAACAAATTGAATGATGCACTTAAACAGAAGAGGCCAGAATTAACCAACAGGAAGGGTGTAGTGTTCCACCAGGATAATGCGAGACCTCATACAAGTTTGGTCACTCGCCAAAAGCTTTTACAGCTTGAATGGATACTGCAACACCCACCATATTCTCCAGATCTGGCGCCTTCCGATTATTTTTGTTCTGGTCCTTGCAAAATTTTTTGGATGGTGAAACCTTTTACCCTCAAATGAAGATGTCAAAAACCACCTGAATCAGTTTTTTGCCAGCAAGGACCAAAACTTTTTGAGCGGGGAATCATGGACTGCCAGAAAGATGGCAAAAGGTGTTGGACCAGAATGGCCAATATATAATTTAATAAAATATTTATTCATTATACGAAAATTGTCTTTCATGTTCCTAAAAAAAAAAAAAAAAACGAAATTACTTTCCGAACAACTCTATACATTCGTATAGAATTGCACTTTTGCTGATTTCTGCAAATTTTGTTACTATCACTGATGCTGTTGTATAAATTTTGAGCCATTATCTCGCCTAAGTTTTTTGGCTTTACATCCTGTAGAATGAGAGAACATATATATTAGCATTATATAATGTATATATGTATTGTATAATGTTAGCATTATATAATAGATCAGATTACAGCCTTAGAACACACATCACATAAAACAGTAAAATGTAGAGTACTACAATTTTTCCTTTTTTTTTTTTCTTTGGCCCCAGTATGCATATAAATGGAATTTGTATCAGTATATATTTAAGAAATATAGTTCTATTGAATACTGTTCCTTCATCTACTTCTCTAGTAAAATAAAAAGGAAAAAAATGTTAAATATCATTTGTTATTAATATATAAAGTAAGTAATGTTGAATAAATTTGCTTTTTTTAATTCTTAAATTAGGCACAGTAAATTCCTTATAATAGAATTTGATTTTCATTGCATGATATTTATATATGTATTTATTTTTTGTATTTGAGACTCAGTTTATGCATGCAGAATGAATACATATTTAAATACAGATATATATATATATTTTAGCTTACTCATTCTGTTGATTGGTATAATATCCTGAAAAATGAAGGTCCACAGCAGAATGTATCATCAATCAATAAATTTGCAAAAGATCACAGATTACGTAAGTTACTGTTACAGCAACGTAATTAATTTTTTAAATTTCAGTAATCATTTGAAAAAATTATTTATCTAAAACTAATATGTTTCCATCTAGTAGCACTTATTTAGTGTTTGTTATCTGTTCTATAAAGAGTGATGTGTAGTACTACACCTATGAATTTTAGTTGCATTGGTCTTCATGTACAGTATTTTTATTTGTATTGGCTTGCAGTTATTCTATTTTGGACTATTGTTCCAAGGTATAATAGTTGGTATAGTAGATTCGAGTAATCTGCAACTGCTTAATCCATGAATGCATATAATTTGCAATAGTTTTTGGATGTCAATGAACAAAATTTAGATTTTCAGGAAATTCAACATGGAAAATGTAAGGGAATTTTTCTTATATATCAGTAAACTTTTTAATAAAAATATGCTCGATTAATAATTTATTACTTATTATGGTTAAAAATGTAAATTAATTTTACTTTTGAAGTTTCTCAACATTTTAAGAATGCATATAAATTTTGTTATTAATCTAATTATACATAACATAATGACAGAATTACCATAGAATTAATTTTAGGGAAAACTTTGCTGCAAATGTTTTATAAACAAAGTATTTGTTTACTTTTCTTCCATATAAAAGCATAACTATCGCTTTGAAAGTAATTTTGTTATATTTTGAAATAATTTAACTCATGCCATTTATTTTACATAACATATTTTAATGCATTTATGCAAAGCTTTCTATTTTTTCAAAACTTTTCCTTCTCTATTTACCATAGTTTTCTTTCCATTTCATTTTCCCCTTCCATTGCCGTTATTTTCTTCATATGTAATTGTATTTAAAAATATAATACAGTACAAAGTCTGAAAATCCAGATGTTCAGTAACCAGAACCCCAGACCACCAGCAATTTTTCTTTTTTACAAAACTTAGAAAGCAAGAATGTTATTCTAGGAAAAACAGGTATGTTTTAAAAGCGAATTTTTATCCCAGCTACCCGAGATTCTTGTACATACATCACTTTCAAACACTGTAGGCTAAGAAGACGCACCATGGCCATTAATTAATGCTAGCCACGAGTGCACATTTGGCTCTTGAATGCAAGCAGGTTGTCTTCACTTGAGTGGTTGTAGAGGGGGTTAAATTTTTCTATCTGACCTGAACAATAAGCTTAATGACATATTTGATTAAAGTGGGATGTTGATAATACTAGTTTTCTTTTATTGGTTTAACAGCGGGTAAAAAGGAAGAATTGGATTTGGAAGAACAGCTATCTTATCAAAATTTAACGTTCGAATTCTCAGTTATGTTGAAAAGATTTCCTTGCACCACTACAAGGGCCAGAAGTGGTGGCCATTTCATTATGGAAGCACCTTATAGGTGGCCATCATTGCCTCCTATGAAGGGACAGATAGGTATAAACCATTGCCTTCTCCAGTATTCCACCCTATGCCCATTACTACGGCAGTTAGGGTCACTAACTGTTATACCGGCTGGGTGGCACCCTGTCATAGTAAATACCCTGACTCTGTTTAAAATTAAGGAATTGTGGGAATGAGTTTTGTATCGCTGGATACCTATACATGTGGACATAAGAGGTAACATGCTGGCAGACACCACAAAGTCTGCAATCGTATGTCCAGTCAGCTTGTCTCTTCGGATTATATCAGCAGATTCATCAAACAGAAAATCTTAGATAAATAGCAGAAACTCTAGGATGAACAGCTTAATAATAAGCTAGGAAGTGTGAAAACTAGAGTGTAATACTGGGATACTACTAGGAACCGGAAGGATAAAGTCGTACTGACCCAACTTAGAATCATTCACTCCAGAGTCAATCACATTTTTCTTCTGAGATGGGAAAGTGAAATGGTTTGTAATGCAATGTATTTCTTGCCATGCATCATTTTTTAATTGTCCTTTTTTTAAACAGACTTAGAATGAAGTATTTTAAAGACTGTGACATACCTCTTGATCAAATAATTGGAAAAGAGCTCATTAGAAATTTCTTTCAATACCTGAAAGAAATAGGTCTTTATTATTTAATTTGATTTGATTTTAGTGTAATATATTGGTATTTTATAAAATTGTATAAAAATTATAATTTAGAATATAAGCCAAAGGATACCAAACTTTTATATGTCATGGTAACCTGTATGTAGAAATTATTACTATGGCACCCTATTTGAAAATGGCTTGAAACATTTTTTATAAAATACATCTATCAGCCATCATATGTGATTGTGTTTATAACATCAAATTTGAATGTTTATATTTTTATAATGCATTTGCATGTAAGATGTAATTGCTGATTTATAGATACTCCATAATACTCTTTTATATCATCTGCATATATTTAGATATTAAAAAATTTAAAAGTTGTGTGTGGGACCCAGTTCAGAAGGCTTTCATTTAGACTACTTTGTCATGAGCTAGGCCCACCAGTGGCCAAGTGGTAAAGTCTCTGAACACTGGTAGTTCGGTCCGAGGTTCGAATCCCGCGAATGGGCTGGCTGCATGGGCATTTTTGTGGTTTGCCCTATTTGTAACATGTATACAAGCCAGTTCCCATTAGAAAGTCCTCCACGAAGGCATTCCTACCCTTAGGCAGATAGCCTTTGAAGCTTTGCCATAATCACATACACACGTTGTCATGAGCTATTTTATTAGGACATCAGAGCTATATTGTCATGGGCTACTCTGTCAGGGTGCCAATACTTGCTGTAAGCTCATACCTTAAATACAATATTTAATAAGACTTACTTTTAAAAAGTCAGTATTCATTATTCTTTTTAAATTTATGTACATTTTTCAGGTGTTTTAAAAATATGTTTTCAGAAATTTTTTAATTATTTCCCTTTTTATTACAACTGTTTGTGCAACAGCAAGAGTTTTAATTGAAGTTTTTAATTATATTGTATTTTTAGAGCCTGCAGTTTTTTTTCTAAATTTTAATTCAAATTTCAAAATTTAATGATATTTGTAATTATTGTGTTGGAGACTGAATATGCTTATAATTAAAATTTACAAGATCAAGAATGGCAGAAGATGTTTCAAATAATTTGTTATTAATAAATATCACATAAAGATGTGAGTAACTGATATTATACTATTTGGTGCTTCAGATAAGTAACTGTAAATGGGTCACAGCAGCTTTGGTGTAGATGAGTGATGCTTAAGCTTTCTGAACTATTAGTTCCTTTTGCCCTAGAAATTTTTCATGATGAGAAGTTTTTTCTTAATTTCTGTAATGTATTATTGTTTTATTTAATGCTGTAGTGAAATGAGTATAATAAGTTTACTGAAATAGTAAGATATAATAATACATAATACCATGCATAATAAATAAAATGTAATAATACTAAATACATTGTAAGACTCTGCCTATACCTTCTAGATAACAACAATATTGCTATACATGATTTGAGAACCTGTGATTAGATGCAAGAATTTTTTTATATAGCTATAAAAGTATATTAAAAATATATATTTTTTGTATGCAGTCTTAATCTCTTATTATTGGTTAGTTGCTTTTTATCATTTAAAACCTTATCTGTCTGAGCATCTTTTATTATTTTCATTATTTTGCTTTTGCATTTTTAATGGAAACTCTTTAAAACTTTGTTTTTGAATTTTTATTTTTCTGTTTCAGGTAGGTTATTTTCTCGTCTTATTCAGCCTTATCACGGAGATGCCTTATCTGAGCTTATGAACGGAAAAATCCGACAGAAATTAAATGACATACCAAAAAATGTTACTTGGGGAGGTAAAACTTTTTTAATTATGAGTGAAAATTACTTAAATAATAACTGTTTAAAAATGATGTACTTGCAACTACAATACCTGTTCTAACACTTCATGAACTAGTAACATTCTTTCAATTCTTTGATTGGCACTTATGAAAATAGCCTATGTCATATTTTGTTAATGTGAGTGAAGGCAAGATGCAACTGCCATTTTTAAGTCAAATTGTTTTATTGAGGTAGAGAAAATAGAATTTCTTCTCCAGGCTACATATAAAATAACAAGCGATGGAAGATGCACGCAAAATTAGTAAACATTCTCTGGGCTATCTTCCATGTGATTTAGATTTTGCAAAAATTAAGAAGATAGAAATTTAGCATGGGCTAGGAAAAGAAAGCTTCCATAAGTATTATGTTACCCTAGCTCTCAGAAAATGGTCTGTATTTTGTATATGAGAATCCAGTGCACCTATGGAAGTGGTGTAAAGCAGGGATTCTCAGCCAGGGTGAATTTCATAGTTTCAAGGTAGGGAATGCAGTCAGCCTTTTATTTACTTATGTTGTAGGATTCAAAAGCTCCCGGACTCGATCTATAACATAAAAGTTTTTTGCAGTACCAGGGCTAATATCAAGAATGCAAGCCTTTGAGTGGGATCGTTGTTTCAGAGAAGGCAGGGAAAGTGCCAAAGACAATGAACACTGTGGCCATACCGTGACTTGGTGCACCGATGAAAACATAAAAAAGGTGCCTGCGGCAGTACGTTCTGCAAACAATTTGCCAAATAGCAGAATCAGTTGGGATATCAGAGGCCACATGTCAGCGGATACTGACTAAGGATCTTAACATGCATAGGGTGTGTCAGCATATCGTTTCCCACGTGTTAAATTTAGACCAAAAGGGAATTCAAATGGAAATGGCGGGAGATTAAATCTCGGCTGTTGACAAAAAGCCTTCCTTACTTGGCAGAATTGTTACTGGAGACGAGAAATGTTGTTTTTTGTTGACCCACAAACCAAGAGAGCATTGGCAACGTGGAAATCATCACAGTCTCCACGAAAGCTGAAATTCCGCCAAGGTTGCTCTGAAAGAAAAGTCATGCTAGAGGTATTCTTCAATATCCAGAGCATTGTTCATCTGGAATTTATCCCTGAAGGACACACTAGGAACAAAGAACTCTACGTCAAAATTTTGCATCATTTGTCTGAGTTGATCCAGAAGAAGAGGCCAAAAATGTGAGCTAAGCAGTCATGAGTGTTGTTGCATGACGATGCTCCTGCTCACTGATCCTTACTTGTCAATGGTTTCTTGCAAAAACAAAAACAATTGTTTTGCCTCATCCTCCTTACTCACCTGATCTCGCACCCTGTGATTTTTTTCATATTTCCTGAACTGGCAAGATGCTTGCAGGGTTGTTGATTTCAGTCTTCAGATGAAGTTAAATGTGCATCGCAGGCTGAATTAAAGGACATGGGCAAAAATGGATTCCAGATATGCTTTGATGAACTTTACAGGCGCTGGCAAAAGTGTGTTGTTGCATAAGGGTCTTATTTCGAAGGAGGATGTGTTTCTGCAATTTAATTCGTAATATTTTTTATGTCATAGACTCAGTCCGGGAACTTTTGAATCCTACTTCGTATTTGATATTTAGTTTTAGTATATGAATATAAAAAACTACTTTTATTCAAGTTTTGGTATTTATCAAACTTTTGTATACTTTTTCTCATTTAATTTCTAAAACACACTAAAAATAATTTAAATTTCAATAAATGTATGTAAGATATAACAAAGTATGATTGGCAACCTCGAAATTAACTATTCTAGATTCGGTGTTCTCCCTCCTAAATTCATCTGTTCTCCCAAATTCGAGATCTTTCCATGTTACATAGCAACCTAAGATTAACCAATCACAGATTAGCTGTACTTATACATCATACTTGGTGTAAATACTCTTGGCAAAACAACTAAGTCATTCCTGTCCGTAATTTCTGCTTAGCCAACACCGTGCTGCTTTGCCTTGCTTAAATGTTTATATCATTTCTTTTAAAAACCAATGTATGTAAAAATTATCATATTTCTTTAGGATTGGTCTACTAAGATTGTTTTATATGCATGAAAATAAATTTGGAACTTCTCAAAATTCATTTGTGTCACTCTCATTTTTTCATCTTTCCACTCGACCATCTAAGACCACAAGCTGTTAAAGTATCCATTTCCTCCTAAGCATTAAAATATTAATTGTATATGTATTTGTCAAGTTTTAGAAAGGAGGCAGGGGAGAAAGATCATCTGGTAATGATGAAAAGGGTGCATGGGGGAAAAATGTTTGAGAAACATTGGTATATGAAATGTGAAGGTCATTTTTTTAACCATGAATCTTGTACCTTGTTTCCTAATAACTCTGTATTAGGGGTATTTTTGTCCACAAACTTCCAGAAGAGAAATTTTAAAAGGCTGAAAATAAGTAAAGCATTGTGATTTGTGTTGTATTTATGTGTTATGACTCTTTGTATATCTCTATGTTTTTAGTTAAAGTAAGAAAAATATAAGAATATGATTTAATGGAAAATAAGTTATATTTGTAATTCTCTATAAAATAGGTCAATCAAGTGATGTATTTGAAGCTTTGGCAGGAGATTTTATGAAACCTGTTGTAGATTCAGGTATATACATATATATTTATTATTAAGCAGTATAATTATGGTATCTTATAATATTTAAATAAGTTTATTGCATTTTTGAGAACATGCATAATCATTTCTGGTGAATATTAATATCTTATACACATATAAATTTATATATTATAGTTCTTTCTCTACTTGTGAATGAGACCTATATTGATGTGAATGTATACAATGGGCAGTTAGATCTCATCGTTGATACAGTTGGTAAGATATAAAGTATTTTTATGAGATACCTAATTTGAGTGTTATTTTTATTTGTATCTTATGTTTTGCTCTGGAATAAAAATTTGTTACTTTTAATAACAAAATTAGCTTCATGTATATAATGAATTATTTTATTAATCATAATGTGTAAACGCTATGGCTGCATCTGTCACTTTCTGTTCAGTTTTGAAGAATATATTTTGTTTCACATACTATGTGTATTAGATCTTACCTCAGAATCTGAATTGGTAATTATATTCATAGTAATATGTTTTACTTAGTAACATGCATATTTTTAGAGTAAATTTGGAATTTACAATTTTAAATGGCATAAAATAATCCGTTCAGAATCTATTACTTTCATATTTTTTCTATATAACTATATATTTTTCTTTTTAATGTTGACAATACTGAAAAATAGTAATTATGCTACTGAAAATTAATGTGTTCTTCTATCTGTCAGTTTTAAGTACTGGTATGAAATTATTTTTGATATTGAGTTATATTGTTTTCTTTATCAATGCAATCTGTTTGGCATATAATATGAGAACTCAAGCATAGACAGCCCACAGCACTGAACTTCCATTCTATTTGATGAAAACTGGAATTAATAAACTTTTCCTACAGTATTAAATATAATTAATAGTATAAGTTTTCTAACTATGCGTTTGTTAACCAATTGTATGTGACCAATTGAAAATTAATAATTTTGGGTGGTGGTTTCAATTGTATGGGTTTTATATGCATTACCTGAATCATTTAAGTTGTTGAAACACTCTATTCACAGTTTGGGTAATCTCTAAGTTTGAACGTACTTGAATATCTCAGTTTTCATAGACACAAACTTTAATCATTATGAGCAGTGTTTGTACTAGCAAAAGTTTTGTGAACATTGCTGTGATTGATTTTGGTATTAAGGCATACTAGTAAGAAAGATCTAATTTGCAGATGTTTGATTCCTGCTCTAATCTTATATGCATACTTGAACACTAAATTATTATTTATCAACATTTAGCAGTGAATGAAATGTGCTATTATCTCAACAAAACCTTTAATAGTTCTATATTCTGGATACTAAAAAGAAAAAAGTAAAATATACATTTTAAAAGTTTCCCATTACAAGTGGCTGCCATGTAAATCTAACTTGGCATTTTATGATAACAGTTCACTTTGATTGTAAACAGTATTCTATATTTCTCTGTAATTGCTTCTTTATCCCGAGATCTATGTGCTGTTGAAACAAGGAGCATAAAATTGAATGCATCTAAGTCTTAAGTCATGTTTTTTTCATCTCAGAACAGGGGTGAATGTCTTGGCACTACCTACCAACATACCTTTATGCTGTAGTATGAATGCAATATAAAGGTATGTTGGTAGGTTGAATTATGAATGCAGTATAAAGGCTTGCTCTTTTCCATTCAGAGGTGACCAGTAAAATCTTTAATGAAGTGTAGAAGAAATTATGGTCATGATTTGGAATAGAATATAATCGTCCATCAGAGATTAAATAACATTTAAAGTTCAGGAAACCTACATCTTACCTGCTGTCGTATCATCAACTAATATCTCTTTTATCTGTAGCCATATTTTCATAAAGATTTCCTTTCTTAAATCAAATTTCTTTTTGCAAATTTTAACTACAAATACAGTGCACTGTAGTAGGAGACAGCATGTTACTACTACATCGAAAAGACAAAGTGAAATGCCTATTAAGAGTTCTAAAGTTTTTAAACTTGATTTGTGCTGCTTTATTTTTGACTTTTGAATTGTTTAGATAGTAGTTGTTTCACCTGCAAAATGTATTTCATTAGTCTTTTTTTTTTTTTTTTTTTTAATACTTGAATAAGCAGAAATGTAGACTATTGAAATGAAACTAAAAACACTGGAATGTTTTTATAACGACAGGGCTGCTACATGGGTATAAGGTGCTCTTGTGCGAAGGTGTATTTTTGCGTCCAGATTAAATATAGTAATTAGAAATTTTTTTAAGCAAAAGAAATTTCTGCCACCTTTTAATATGGTATTGACACTAGGAAAACAGCTAGCAAATTTAATTTATTTTTTGATGCATTTGTCATTTTATGAAGAAATTTGATCCTTAATCAGACAATAATCAGTAAAGGTTAATTCTTAATAGCCTGGATCATATACATGCTTGAAATGGTATCACTTCTGATCGGGCATTTTTGTGCGAGGCTCAACCTGATTATCCATATTGGGTGGCCCTCTATAAAAGAGTACTAGCAGTTCTCATGTGTAATTAATGGAGTATTAGAAAAACTAGAGTGTATGATTGGTGGAAAAATTGGAGACCCCTTCATTTTACTAAGCAAACAAGATTATAAAATGTGCTTTCAAGAAGTAACACTGTAAATTATGATATGGTTAATGCAAGAGCAAAGAGATATGTAATTTTGAATAAGTAATTTTGCATTGCATTTGCGTAAGGCTTTGGGAAAAATAGCTTCACATGCAATTTATTTATAGATAAAATGTATGAAAATTACTTTTTTTTTTAGCAAACTATCAAGTAACCAAGAAAGTTTATGCGGTTTTTGTCACTCATCAGAAACGACGCATAAAAATCGTACACCCATTTTATTCTTAAAAATAATCACTTTTAATTCAACTACATGTTACAAATGAGGCACAAACTTATAAATGCCTTTTTTGAAAAAATTCTTTTTTCTGGAGTTTTTGTTTTAATTCTAAAGCAAAGAAAGATGTCTCGCACTGCAAGGAGATTTTTACTGAATCTTGGTTGTTATTTCTGTACAGAGCATAAGCTAATTTATCCTGAAATTCTTTTGAAAGAGAGAAAATAGGAAAAAGATGAATAAATATATGCTAGTGATAGAATTATCTGTTATGCATGATTTTCTGTTATGCATTTATAATGTTGAAACATTTTTTTCAGTTGGAGAATTTTAGGAACATTAAGATGCTCTCTTTATCATTGTTCTTTTAATAAACCCAAATTTATCATCAGAAATTTTTAAAAATATTTATTTTTATTCAGGAACTTTGAACTGGGTTGAAACATTACCATGGCCTGGTTTAAAGGGTTTTATAAAAGCACCAAAGAAACCCATGTCATTTACAGCAGACCGCACTGGTGGTTTTTCTAAATCATTCAAACAGTTCAGTTTCTTTTGGATTTTGAAAGCAGGGCATATGGTAAGTATTTAAAATTTTTTATATCATTTGCATTTTGGAACTTTTAATTTTTATGCACAATTATAGATAATTTCATAATAAACAGCAAGCATATACCCCTTTTTTTTTGTTGTCACAAAAACTGTTGGCAATGTATTAAATTTTTATGTTTATCTTTTTGAAGAAAACTTTTCTTTAAAAGAAAAAAAAAAGTGTAATTTATTCCCCACCTTCTTTTTTTTTTTGGGAGGGGGGTAATTGAAAATCAACTTCTACAAAAATGAATTATTATACAGTATTAAAATACCAAACATATTCATTTTAGTAATTTTTGCTTCATGTAATATAAAAACGATTGGATAATGTCATAATTCTTCTACATTGTAAATTAGTCCATATTCAATTTATTGTCCCTCAACATATTATAATTAGTTTTATTGTCCAAATCGCAGGCTTAAAAAAAGTCTGCAATTTCAATTTCTTTGGTTTGCAAGTTGCAGACTGGAAGTGTGATAATTTGGACCAGTCCATAATATTTTAATGAGTAATAATCACGATTAAAAACTTATTTAGATAAATAGGTAATATTAATTAAACTAATTTGAAACATAATTTAAATTAGTTCCCACCAGCAGCCGAGCGGTAAAGTCGCTGAACACTGGTAGTTCGGTCCGAGGTTCGAATCCCGCGAATGGGCTGGCTGCATGGGTGTTTTCGTGGTTTTCCTCATGTGTAACGTGTATATGAGCCAGTTTCTCTATGTAAGTCCTCCACGAAGGCATCCCTCCCCTTAGGCAGATAGCCCTAGTGTGCTTTGCCATAATTAAATACACCACATAATTTAAATTAAATGGAGATTTAGATCACCAGTTCCCAATCTTTTTGACTCTTCAAGTCCTTTTTAGAAACAGTTTCTATGAGGGATCCCCTAAGGCTTATCATTTGTCATAAAATTTAAAGCCATTTAGAAATAATGTTATTGGAGAGCAGGAAATAAATAGTAAAGGTGTGGAAAGCAAAGAGGTAATCAAAGAACTGCGCAATGTACATGTCTGAAATTATATTTTAAAACTGTGAAATTTACCATAATGTCTCAGTTTATTTTTCAGTTACTGCCAATGCACATATCAAAAGATGGCCATATATAAATATTCTACTTAAGTTCCATAAATCAGTAAGAGTAGCTATTACACTATCAGTGAGAACAATAATAAAAAAAAAAATGGTCCATACAGTAAACTCCAATTTAATTATTACACCCTCTTCAATTCATATACAGGGCATGTAATTAAATTTTCAATTATGAAGGAGAGTTAAGTGCACCCAGATGGCTCAAAGTCAGGGAGCAGTGGATGGTCAGAAATGCTTTACTGATGTGGTATTTGATGTTGGTCTGAGAGTTCTTACGGGGAAGCTTAGCACATGTGCAAAGGTAGTAGGATAAATGATAAAAGTTAGCTGAAACATGTTCCTTCCATAGGGTTGAGATTAATGAGGAATGATAGTCACCAATTCTGGTCATTTAGGAAAACCATTCTACGTTATGTTTAAGACATTCAAAGCTTGAGTGTGTGAGCTATAGAATATAAAGTCAGGGCTGCAGTGTTTGGAGTATTCTTGGAAAAAATGAAATGCATCCATTTCATATGCAGCATGTCCAAGCACTTCAACTAGATGATTATGCGCTTTAGATTGCTTTTGTATGGTTTCTGTAACACTGTGTTTTGTGTTATTCACTTGTGAATAGTGCTTCACAGGCAAAAGAATCTTCAATTTACATAGTACCCATATGCAAAGGTGTGGTTAGTGTCAAATCCCAATGCGAAAAGAAGTCATGCAGCACAGAACTATTTTGCAGTAACTGTTTGAGCCTGCATTGTGGGTGATCACCTCATTGAATCTTACCTGTTGCATAAGCATAAAACTGCAACATAAAATTTATAATAACTAAATATTAATGTCTTTTACATTACAATCACATTGCAAATAGTTCAACAACAAATCATGCATTATAAAGTGAATTTAAATTTATTTAGTATTCTTTCGAAATTGCGCTGCTGTGCAGCATGAAAAACCTCAGTTTTTCAGATTTTTAGGTTGGCAACTATTTTGTTTGATAGCACTTAGGGAATGGTTGTACGCATAGCAGTATTTGCTGGGAAAACCCAAGATGCCAGAAATCATCCAGAATATATGGAATTTCATTTATTTGGGCCTACATTACATTTATGAATATACATTTATTATTAGAATGCATGTTCACTTACATGATATCTTTCCACTTTTGATATTTTTTGTGTATACTACTAAATGTATAGATCATTTCCAATCCTACATTGCTATGCAAATCTGAGTCATCTGCAGAAAACCTACCCTCCTACAAGTTTTATAGCTTTGGTATCGAGACTCATATATGTTCATTATGAACTTGTTATTAAAAAATTTTTATTCTTCACTGCAGAAGACAATTCTAGCTTAATTTTTCTAATTTTAGTGCAACTTAAACTCATTTGACTTTTATTTATTTTATTTTATTTTGAGTGGCCACTGGGTCCCTGAGAAATGTGTAAGGATCCTTTTAGGGCTTCATAGAACATAGTTTGAGAACAATTGATTTAGATTGATGTCACTGAGTTATGGTAATTGTATAAGAAATTTTCTTGAGAACTGTACTAGATTTTGAATACAGTAATTGCCAAATGCTCATTAACACAATGCATGTTCGACAAAGTTAACTCAAACAGCCAATAATAATCTTATAGCAAAATTTATTATTCAATCAAAATGCATTGAGAAATACTAATTCACTTTGAATTAAGATTTCATGCTGAACACAACATATTTGCTTTCTGCACTTATAGAAAAAAAAGGAGGTTAGGTGTAATTCAGATAAGAAAGTATTATTATTTAAGCAAGCCTAATTATTGTTGTTATTTAAAGGGGAAAATAAAATGAACAAATGTTAATTGAAAGGATTTCTATTACTGCTTAATAAGTAAGTAAATGAATCAATTATTTTTTAAAGTAGCTAGTGATTTTTGCTCATTTAATGTTTCGCAGTAAAAAGCGCTTGTTGTGTGTTAAAAGCTCTTTGATTTCTTCATTATCGCTGCTTTCACTGTTAGCTACTGTTGTAGAATCATCCAGTTCTTCATTTGGCATTTCACTGTCATTGTTCTCGACTAATTCTTTTATTTCTCCTTCTTCCACATCTAAAAATGCTTTGCTACCTATTGTTTTTATAGTCTGTACGATTTCATGATTTCATTTGCAATCACTGGAAGTCCTATAAAATGGTTGACAACTTCTGGCTGGAGCTGATGCCAGCAAGTATTAATTGTTGTTTGATTCACTTGTTCCCATGTGAGTTTAATAATTCTTATGCTGTGTTTTATGTTGAATTAATTCCAAAATGCCATTAGTGTGGCATTCTTTATTTCATCAAGTGCTTTATTGTCAGAAATATAAATGACTTTGAGCATTTTTATGATGTTTTGATCCATCGTTGGATTAAGGAAGTTGTGTTTGGTGGAAAGAATAAAACCTTTATATATGGATGCAACATTAAGAGGGCTTCAGCATCATGTCCTGAAGCATTATTGAGAATTAGAAAAATTTAAAGCTGTTTTTACTGTTTGACTTTGTAAGGTGTATGTTAATTTTATAACAGTTATTTTTAATTTTGAAACCCTTTCCTTTCAATTCTTGTTTCCAACTTACAACTCCCTACCAGAATGAGTTTTTAGAATCACATTGAATGCAAATGAGTTAGAAGTAGTATTAAAAGGAAGTTCAACTTACTTCAAATTAGAGTGTTTAGGAGTCCTCAATGGCACGTGTTTGCCTTTGGACTAATTCATTCTTGAATGTATTACGCTCTGCCATATTGTATATGCCTGCTGATAATCACTGGCTAGTTTAAATTAAGGGCCAACTATGTTAGATATTTGTGTCTAGCGTCGTTTAAGTCTATTTTAGTTAGTATTAGATTAGTTTCTTATTTTCTTATTCTTATTTAAAGGCCCGAGTGGAGGCTTTCCTGTAAGCCCAAGAAGGGGCCAACTGTTACAATCTCTTTGAGTGAATAAAAAGGGCATTTTAACCCTTCTTAAGTCTACATTGTTATGTCCTTGAACTCAGCAATAAGTTGCTACTTAGGTTTCTAGATTTCTCGACATTTTATCATAGGCAGAGTAGCGAGGGACATTACAACTTCTTTAATGAAGGAATTTTCAAACTAGTCATTAAAGAGGGTTATTGTAATGTGGCTGATGCTTTGCAGCATGCCGTGTATAATTGAAATTCTCACATTGGTAAAATTAAATGGGGATAATTAAGATAATGCATATAACCAAAACTGAATTTGGCAAGTGTTTACTGTATTTAATTTCTCATGTATACTTCAGAGGAGGATACTTTGAGAAAGCGTAAAGAGTTATTCTCCCCCCCTTCAAAAAAAAACTCCTCTTTTCAAAGAAAAGTATAATATTTTCTGTGTTTCCAGGAATAATAAGCAACTTATAAAATAATTTGCAATTTTTGTAGTTGTTTTAAAATTTTTAAAAAATGAATTATCTGTGAAATTAAATTTTAGATCCCAGCTGATGCACCACTGACTGCTTTGGAGATGTTAGATATGATTATTTCAAAGAAGAAGTAATATCATACCAAAGAATTTCTTCTGGTTATTTATGTTCCTTTTATGTTTTTAAGAAATATTTTATATAATTTAGAGGACTCTGATTAGTGGCATAGTGCTCTGTTTTTTTTTTTTTTTTTTCCTGCAAGTTTACTTTAATACTTTAACATAATTTAAGCAACATATAATAATATACTTTATGACCAATATGAAGTAGTTTGGTATAATTTCAAAACACACGGCATCTAGTGTGTTAGTGACTTTAGTTATTAATTGGAGTTAAAAAAAAAAAAAAAAAGCTATTTTAATGTTTAAAATAGCTGTTTCTATCTACTGCCCAGCATATGTTATAAGCATTGATTGCTTTTTGGCATATGTTTAGGCTATACAGTGGCATCTTTTTTTTTATTCATTTATTGTATTTGTAAATAGTGCTGTATGTTATGTAATAAAAGTAATATTTTATTTATGTGTAAGGAATATTATTCAGAATTTGAAGTGTTTTCTCTTTTACTTGTAAAAGAAACCATAAAATACATATAATGAAGGGGAGTGATTATACTGCTTTAGAAGAGGAGGGAAATTCTCTCTCCTAGAAAAATTGCAGTCTGAGAATTTTAGATTGCTGGTTAATGAATTAAGAATTCAAGATACTGAAAAAAAGAACATTTTCATATTTTCTGAATGTGAACACAAGCTAATCTTGCTTTTAGTCATATGTCACATGTTTCTAGTTTTCTAATATTTTCTAGATGCATAATTTTGAATCTCTTATTCATACACTCCTCGACATTGAAAATGCAACACCAAGAAGGAGTGGTCAGAAAGAGTTGAAATTTGGAAAAAAGACAGAGACAGCAAGCAGCAATAAGTGATCTTTATTTCAAAATGATAGAATATGGAGCGAGAATGGCATTGGCTCAGTAGGATGTAGGACCACCGTGGACAATGCACGAAGAAACACGTCTAGGCATAGAGTCAATAAGAGTGCAGATGGTGTCCTGAGGGATGGCTCTCCATTCCCTTTCAATCATTTGCCACAGTTCGTCTTCTGAACGAGGCAGGGACAGAGTCTGCTAACGGCATTCAATCACATCCCAAACATGTTCGATTGGTGACAGGTCAGGAGAGTACGGTAACCAGGGAAGCATCTGTATACCTTGCAGAGCATGTTGGCAGATGTGAACACTGTGTGGCCGGGCGCTATCCTGCTGAAGGTAGGGGATTGCCGCCGGCCGCAGTACATTATCCAAGTATCGTTGGGCCATCATAGTGCCCTGAATACGAACTAGAGGCAACATGGAATCGTAGGCAATAGCGCCCCAAACCATTATGCCACGTCGCACGGTGGGGAATTCCACAGTTATTGCCGGATTAGATCTGTCTCCACGTTGACGCTACACACGTATGCGGCGACTGTCACTGTATAAACAGAAGCGTGACTCATCTGAGAACATGATGTTTCGCCATTCTGTCATCCACATCACTCCAGTCCGGCACCATTCTAAACATTGGCGTCTATGCTGTGGGGTAAATGACAGTCTTCTTAACGGACGCCGTTAGTCGTTAAGAACTTCCGTCAGTGCAGGCCACGTTCAACCAATCGACGGGAAATGGTTCTGGTTGACACGGGAACATCCAGGGTATCTTCCACATGCTGCAGAATCGCGGTACAAGTGCCACACCTTGTGGGCGGATGCGTCGATCTACGCTTGCTGACGTCACTCTGGTTGCACCTGCTCCCTCCTTTTTCCCCAATTTCCTTCTTCCAACCATGTTCGCCATAGCTGATGCACCGTGCTCACATCCATGTGGGTATCAGCTGCAATTTGATGTAAGGACCAACCCGCCTATCTCAGTCCGATCACCATACCCCTCGTAAAATCGTCTATCTGGCTGGAAGTGCCTTCCTTGATGATGGCCTGGCATTCACTTCTATTACATGTATCCTCCAGAAGAAAAATCAATTTTCTTCAATAATTCGTCTGGCAGAAATAACGACATGAGTATTGCCCATTCTGCACGTTTCTTCCCTTATATCTTACTTCGCGTGCGTCGGAGAGCTGCGCATTTCACATAATTCGCATGACTCAGTGAGGTGCAGCTACTCTAAAATTTGCATAAATTTCTGAAAACTCCTTCTTGGTGTTGCATTTTCAATGTCGAGCAGCGTACATAAATTAAAAGTAATACATGCACTACTGACAGGAAGCCTTTTTTTTTTTTTTTTTTTTTTTCCGGGGGAGGGAATAACATTTCCCTGTGCTTAGATTTCAATTTATTTTCATATTATCAGTTTAATATGTGAAATTGTTTTAAACTTTTGCAATAGATTTGTTAGTTAAAAAGGAATTCAAAACGCAGAATATAAAATCATGTATTTAAAACAAAATGCCAAAGATGGAGAGGGGACTTCATTATATTATTCATTCATAAATTAGCATCACATGAAGACGTTTGCTCTTACTTTAATATTTCAAGTATAGCTATGCATTTATTTTCAGTGTATTGCATTAGTATGAGGTTCGTGATAAGTATTGCCTATATGTTTACGGGCAGCACGTTTTATTTTATGAAGACATTTAAAATTCACAGAGTGTAAATAATATTATAACATCTTTAAGATAATGAAATGCTTCTAGTTTCACAGCAGGAAAAGCTGCTGCTCTGGAAATGAAGAAGTAGATGAAAATAAATATATCTGGAAAATATTTAGGATCTCGTAACAAAAATTTTTGAAGTAACACTGCACTTTAATAGAGCTTTATCTTATAAAAAACAGAGCATTATTTTATTAAAAACTCTAAACATGAAACTAAGAAGAAGATACAGACCTTCTTTAAAAACTGTAAAATGTCATTTAATTGAACTTACTTCATTGAAGTATAGGTCAGCTGTTGTGATTTAGGAAAAGAAAGAAAAGAAAAAAAAAAAAAAAAAAAAGAGAGAGAAGAAGAAAAGAAAAGAAATAAATAAAAATAACAAAAAAATAAAATAAAATAAATATAAAAACCAAAGTCTGAAAAATCAATTATTCCTAATTACTTGCTTTTGGTCAGCAATTAGGAATGATTGATTATAATGAAGTAATAAAAATGTGATTGAATAAGGAATCACATTTTTATTGCTTCATTACTTCATTACTTAGATTTATGTTAAAAAGCATTTGTACTGCATGTAAAAATAATAAATAATAACCCCCCCTCAAAAGATTGTTGTGCTTATCAAATAATCAAATTCTGCTCATCATTATGATGGGGTAATTCAGTTATGATAAGCATTACAAAAAACTCATGGAGGTAAAGATAGACGTAATTTGCAAATTCTTATAATTTTGCACACAAGTGCATGTGTGCGTATTCGTGCCTGACATTTATTGCTATTAGTGAATTAAGTATATAAACTATGAGTATGTATTTGTGTTGAAACTAAACATATGAAATATGAATAATTTTTTTTTGTTATTTTCTCCAAAAAAAGATAATTTTATTATTAAAATAGTTGCAATCTTTACTCTGTCTCACTCAAATAATGTAAATCATCTCCTTCAATAATTTGATGATTTGTAAGTAGATATAGAGAATGCGACTGAATCCGAAACTCTTCATGTATCAATGATGTTTAGTGATAACAGAAATATGAGAATTAGAGGTAAGCAGTCCTTACGTAATCTGAATTGAAACTGTAATGTGGTGTTTAGTGTGAGTATCAGAAATATTAATAGTAGCTTTGTGGCAACCTACAAAAATCAAAGAAAGGAACTAAATGCCAGCAAATAGCATACAAATGAAGAAATTGTTGCATGTCCGTAAAAATCAGTACTCAGTGTATGCACTTTTTTATGTGTTTGTATTTTGAATAAGTATCTTTAGAGATGAAAGACGAAGAAAACAATTATAAAATTGGTCTATTATTTCATCTCTGTTCTTCTAATGGGGAAAGATCCAAAGTCTTCTGGTGGGGCAAAATCCTTGCTTTTATTATTATTATTCTTAACAAATCAAAATATGTTTTCAAAAAGGTTGTATAACTGAGTATATTTCTTGGGGAGGGGATTTGTTTGTTTTGGTTATGCCAGGGGCACACTAGAGCTATCTGCTTAATGGAAGGAATGCTTTCTTGTAGGAATTTTGTAATGGAAACTGTTTTGTGTTTACTCAGTGTATGATCCTAAATAGTGGTCAGCAAACTCTTTACGCAAAAGAGGCAAAGATCATCAGTACAAGAATACAGCAATAAAATTGCATTTGAGAGCCAAATTTCTATTAAAAAACAATGTTTTTAGGAGTCAGTTTAAACTAATTATGATCATTAAATAAAACCAAATATCATAATAATAATAACTTATTTATTGACTGAAAATAATATTTTTCATATTAAAATAAAAATATGGCAAAACATGCATTTAACATCAAAAATGACTTCGATTATTATTATTTTTTTTAATTTGAATAAGTCGTCAGGTTTGTGTGTCTTTAAATTCAAGCAGCAGTCTAGTTTCTCATCAATAAGATTATTTCTCAATTTACTTATTAAAGTCGCTGAACACTGGTAGTTCGGTCCGAGGTTCGAATCCCGCGAACGGGCTGGCTGCATGGGCGTTTTCGTGGTTTTCCCCATGTGTAATGTGTATACGAGCCAGTTTCCCATAGAACGTCCTCCACGAAGGCATCCCTCCTCTTAGGCAGATAGCCCTTGAGGCTTTGCCATAATCACACACACACAAGTTACTTCTGATACGTATGCTTGAAAAAAATTTTTCGCATGAATATGCAAAGCTAAAGTGTGAAAGAAGAGCAAATGCTAATTCTTTTAACTAATCATATGAATCAGCAAGTCTCTTTGTAAGTCTTTCAAAACAGAATTATTTTGCTGTGAACTATGATCACATTTATTTTTCTCCGTTTTTCCCATATAAGCATTAAGGCGTTCAAATTTAGAGCTCTATAATGCTTTGTGTTTTAACTCCATTAACTGCATTTTAAAAGCAATGACAATATTAAAGGAAAAAATTCAATTCTGTTTACGTCAGCACTGAAAGGTTCTTTAACTACAGGCTAACTTCACTATGTTATTTCTGAATTCCTGAAATCTCCATGGAAAAGCTACCTTCATATTTAAAATTGTTGTTGCGAAATAGTAAATCTTAATTACTTAATTATTTTTGTGGCGATGTTTCAGCACGCTGTGAAAAGAAATTAATGTTTCTTTTCAAAGTCTTGAGTAAAAAGGCATAATTTCTTTTCAGTTGAAATGACTTCTAACATCAAAAAAATTATTTCCACTCCCATGTAATTTGCGATTATTTTTAGATGAGGCCAAACATCTGCCATGAAATAAAATCTTTAGATCCACTGATGTTCCATTAGTTTATGATAGTCAATACCATTCTCAAGGAAAGATGCTTTAATTTCTAATACTAAGGAAGCAAAACGTTTTAAAACTTTTTTTTTTCTTTAAAGCGTATCT